CCATTACTGCTGCCCTATTCGTGCAGTGGGTCATTACTGTTGCCCTTTTCATGCAGTGGACCATTACTGCTGCTGTATTCATGTAGAAGACCGTTACTTTCTTCCATTACATGAAGAAATTGTGAAGTGTGTGAATACCAGGAAGTGAGAATCCACAGCACCCTCTTGAAGGTTGGCCATCACCAAATGAAGTAAAAAGAGGAGAGGAAATCAAGGTAGAAAAAACCACTAGCACAGACTCTTGAGAAGTTGTACCAGAAAGAGGAACAGCAAATAGGGGATGTCTAGGTGCATCTGTAGGAAGATGTATCAGTGAGGTTTATAGAAATGTCCTGATTATTTTTATTATCTCACAAGATAAAAACCAAAGTTACCAGAGACTGAAAATAATTTTTATCCTACAACTAGCAAACCCTAGTCTCACCCTGCCAAGAGCTGGAACTGCAGGTATTACAACAATTTTAGGGTTGCCAAAGGTGAAGAAACAGAGCTGGCCTGGAAGTGCAGGGAAGAAGTCTTGTCACACAGGCAGGCCCAGGAGCTGCATGCTCCAGAGATGAACCCCGAGCTAGTGTAACAAGTTGCTTGATACTGTTTGGGTTGGGGTGGTCTTTCGGTCTTTCATGAGTGAGTAGAACTTTACAAATATGGGCACAAGCTGGAACAGGTACAGCTTGTAACTCTGGTACAAGCCTGTTCACAGAGGTGGAGGGAATGCTTCAGATTATTGACATATTTGGGTTTTAAAACATTTTGAACACAAAAGTTCTGCATAGACACACATCACTACACTAGATTATGGCCTGTAAGGAAGTGTGCAGGAGGGTGGGATAGGGAGAAATCACAGAACGTTAAAGTAAATGAGAAAATGAGACATGGAAAGCAATTAGAGAATGGAAGTAGAGTACTCCTGGAATATACTCAGTGAATCTGAAGATTGTTAAGTGTGTGGTAGAGCAAATATAGTAGAAAGATAGGGGGAGACAAGATAGAAGAAGTTGGTTGGAATTAAAAGTACAGAGGAACTGCAGTCAGGGTTACTGTGAAAGTCCAGCAAAGGACTGTGGAAGTCTTCGCTAGAGCACAAAGGAGAGGAGGAAAGGAGCCAGGGAGGTCAGAGCCCAGGATGACTGGCACACTATTAAACTCACCGGAGAGGTGGCCAACGTGGTTGGATGCAGTAGCCTGGAGTTCATAAAGAGAACTTGGAAGAGGAGAGGCTCCTAATGAGTTGTAGAGGTTGTAGAAATGGGCGAGGTATTTAGTGGTACTGTGCTGCCTGGTGACTGAGACAGAAGGCTGGAAGTAGAGATGACTCCAGAGAAGACAAAGCAAGGTTGTCCCAGACCTGGGAAGAGGAGTAGGGGAGAAAACAGCCCCCACTTGAGAGAGGACACGTGCTTGGGGTAGAGCAGTAGGGAAGTCTCAGCTCTTGAGGCTATCCGTTCCAGTGGCTCATTATCTATTTTTTATTGAGGAAAACTTCACCTCAGTTTTTCTCTAAAATGCTTCTCAGAAGTTGAGCTTCTGCTATACTAGATCCCCTGAAGTACATATGGACTTTGAAATAGCTCATGCCTACAAGAAAGCTGCAAGCCTGGTATAAAGAACATGAATTCCCTAGATACTTTCAAGGTATCTGCCATTGTATGAGTCACTTAAAGTAACTTTCCAGTGTGTGTGCATGTTTTCTCTGAGCTAGCTTTTATTATTCTTAATATATCTGCTTTTCAGTGACTCCCTTATGAGGGCCAGTCTCCTGTCTTTGCTCCCTCTCTCCCATGGGCGCTCCCTGTGTGCACCTTGAGCTTCAGCACCAGCCACATTGCGCCTCTTGTGTGGACGCCTTGCTCCCTTCCTCAGCTTGCCTTACCTGACTGTACTGTTTTTCTCAGGTCACTGCTGGCGCGCCTCTTGCCCCCCTTAGATCATAGCAGGGTCTGTTGGGTCACCACTGCTCACTCTCCTTCACTCCCTCCCCAGTGGAAGTCTTTTCTCTCGGACACTTTCTCACATCACATCATGGTGTTTCAGGAGGTTATAAAAGTGTGACAGCAGGCTGGCTGTTGCAGTCAGAGGCAAAACGAGCTCTGCAGGTTAAGGACCCTGTGTTCTGTAAGACTGCCCTCACTTGAGACACCAACTGCAAGGTCAGGGCTCTACAAGCTGCCGGCTGGCTACAGATTAAGGGATTCCCATGCCTGCGTGATAATTCTCCAGAACAGTATGCTGAAAACTGGGAAGTACTGTACATATTAAGGTTTTATTATTAGAAAGTACAAGTCAGAACCAGTCAAAGAAAAAGGCACATAGATTTGGTCTGGAGAAATCTCACACAAGATTTCATTGTTTTCTTCCTATGAAGCCATACCACCAGCGCCCTCCATCATCAGTGTGTTAGAACAAAACAGTGTTAGCAGCCATGGAAGCCCGTCACTTCAGTGTCCAGAACAGTTAAAGGATGTGTCTTATGTAGCCCTGAATCTTTCCCCTGGCACAGCTCAGACCTCCAGTCCTCTTCCCCTCCCTGGATGTGGGGCTTACTTCATGTCATGTGGCAGGAAACCTGGTCTGTCTGCCCCCACCCGGTGCACCCATCACTGTAGCATCAATTCTGTGGGCCCTCCATGTAACTCACCAAGAACTTCAGCTACTTCCCATAGAATGAAGACCAAGGCCAAAGCACTTATCTAGCATCGAAGCTTAGCTTCAGCAACACTGTGAAGACCAGCTGCATGTGTTCTTCCGCTGCAGGAAGCTGGACAGCGCTTTTCATGCAGTGTGTAGAGGAAGCCTCCATTCTAACACAGCAGCCTTGAGATTTCCTCACTTAGCTTTCAGACTCAGGTCTTGGCGGTTCTCTGATGCTTGCAGGCTACCTACTCAGTTTTTGTCACAAAGATGAGTAAACTTTCCGGAATGTTGTGATACATTGTATAAAATGGTAATGACAAAGGAGGATTATAATCCAGCTTCCAATATTTTACAATAAAAATGCTTATCTACCTGTACGATTGTGCTGCGCCTTTGCCTCTCAGTCACCTGTCTTCTCTGTTTCAGGTGTGGCTTTAGCCTCTCCAGCTTCAGTTCATGATTCTCTGATTTGTAGTAAAACATTTCAAATTCTCTACAAAAATGAAGAGGTTATTTTAAATGATGTTATGATCTTCAAAGTTAAAATGTTGTTGGATGAAAAAAAGGTAAACATCTCTTCATACATTTAGGTATATATCTTTATAAAGCCTTCAGGCATATTTCTAACTTTTTATAAATATCCAAAAGCATCTCATAGTATAATTTCTCTTCAGATTGAAGAAACTCTCGAGGAAATGAGTTTTCTGTTATCCTTGGACCTGCACTTCACAGATGGAGATTATTCGTAAGTAGGCCACTCAGACAGTTCCAGCATCCTAAGCGGCTATCTCTGTTCGTTTAGTTTGAAGTGCTTCTGCTTGCGGGCAGAGGCGCCCAGAGACGATCTGGGCTGCTTTTTTGTGCATAAGCAGGTTCCATGAGGTCTAAGTAATAAAATTAGGTAAATTGAAGGCATACGAAATGGTGTCCTGTACTCTAGAAACTGCTGGCCTGCTACAGTTGTGCAGCTGATGGAGCGGGGCGCGGAGACACCCCCGAGCTCTCTTCTGCTGTGTCACTGGCGAGGCTTCTGGGCAGCCCGAGCTGGGCCTGTAGCTGGGATTTGGTTGATGCCGTGAGAGTTAGCAAGACTAAGAACTCAGGTTTGACAGTTGTTTGTGGTTCATTAATTTCAAGAGCTCCTTAGGAAGTTTTAGAACTTGTTTACATACACATACAGTCGTGCATTTTAGAGACAAATTGTGCTTATATTGAGTCAGATAAAAAGCAGGGATCCATTCAACAATTTTATTTTTGGAGAGTTTTTTTCCTCCATTTCAAGTGAGGTTTTAGAAATAGTTTTTGAAAATTATACATAAATTCAGCTTGCATTTAGAACTAATTAATCACATTTGAGCAGTAAAGGTCTGCTTTGTTTGTCTTCTTCACTACTATAGAGGAATAAGAATTTTAATATGGTAACTCCTGATGCTTGACACTTGTTACAAGGATCCTGTAAGATTTTTGTCTAATCCGGTGAGCATTCTTTAAATGAGATAAGCTGAAATAAGTAGTTCGTTAGCTTTAGGCAGTCGTGATCTGTGTGGCCTTCTGTCTTTCCCTTGCCTCCCTCCCTTCTTTGGTTCTCTTTCATGATACTGGGAATTGAACCCAGGCCTTTACACCGAACTTCATCCCTGGCCCTTTTTTATTTGGAGACAAGGTCTTACTAAGGTGCCCAGGTTGGGCTTAAACGTGTGATACTCCTGCCTCCCAGAATGCTAGAGTTACAGGGATGTACCACCATGCTCAGCTATCTATGTGTGGATTTTTTAAAGTATATTCGGATATAATTTTCATGACCTTGTAAATTTTATGCCAGACTGAATACCTGAAATAAATAAAAATACCTTATTTTACTGAGTATATAAAGGTTTACTTATTTTTTGAGGAGCAGTTAATAAAATGTTGTACAATGAAAATAATTCTAAGTATCTTTTGAGATTATAATAGGGTATAACCTATGTTGTCCTGCAAGCTTATTAGAAACTATGCTCCCTAGAGAGTAAAACTTGAGAGGAAATTGGTTTCTCTAGGCTCAAAAAGGACTCATTGCATAGGGATGTTAGTGAGGAAAAAAAATAACCTCTGTCATGGACTAACAATACTACAAGGTTTGGTTTTCTAAGTATGTTTCATGTTGTTGCCTAATGCAAATCTGATGCTTTAAAAATTAGTCTCATTATAAATTTTTAAGAAGTACTCAGCTAAATGTTCTTTGATAATTTAAACTATTCAGTAAAATAATCAGCCTTCCTAGATGTCCCATACTTAACATAAAAATGCTTTTTTTATAAACAGGACAGATGACCTGAACACCTTGCAACTCATAAGTAGCCGAACACTGAAGCTGCACTTTAGCCTCTATAAAGGCCTTCATCACCACGCTAACATTATGTTTGATTATTTCCACCTGTCTGTTGTGTCTGTGACTGTCCACGCATCTCTGGTTGCACTACACCAGCCACTAATAAGGTAAATTTAAACAGTGAGCTGGCCCCTATTATTAATGTAGTGGTTTTCACTTTTATAATGAACGCATTTTAATGAGTACAAATGAAGTTGCAAATAACTTTTTTAAATTTATGTATTTGATACAGGGTCTCACTATGCAGCTCAGACTCGTAGTGATCCTCCTATTTTCAGCTTCCCTAGCACTGGGATTACAGGCATGTGCCACCATGCTTGTTCTCAGTGACCAGCTAAGCTTACCCAGATAGGGCCAGCATTCTATGTGGTGCTGAGGATCAAACTCTGGTCCCTGTGCTTGCCTAAGCAGGCGCTTAGTCCACTGAGTTATCTCACCAGCCCCTTAAATAACTTTTGCTTTTATATGGGCCACGGAGATAGCTCACCAGTCTAAGTGCCTGCCTGGGCAAGCACAAGGACCTGGGTTCGATCTCACACATCACAGGCCATGCTGGCCCTGCCCTTGGTGCACTGAGCCAGCCACTGAGACCAGGCACATGCCTGTAATCCCAGTGCTGGGGAGGCTGAGACAGGAGAATCACTATGAGTCCAAACTGTAGTGAGACCCTGTACCAAAAACATAAAACATTTACATTTCAGCAAAAATTATAATTAAGAAAGCTTTCATTTTGTATTAAACTAATAAAATGCTAAAATTCAGTTCATTTCCTTTATCGTTCATTCAGTGTCTTCATCATTAGATTGCTAAGTGTTTTGCTTTAGAGGTACAGTGGTACCTGAGTTCACAAGCCCAGTTCTTTCCATGATTCCAGTCAGACTGAACTGGAGAGAATCAGCCTGGCCTGGTGTCCTCGTAAGGTCAGCGTTGGTCCTGGCCATTGTTTGCTTCTTTTCCAACTCAGCTTGTGACAAGAATGATGGGGGGAGTCAAGTTTGTGAGCCGAGGTCCCACTGCATGAGCAGTCTTTCTTAATTCCAGGTGAACTGACCAAGTGTTAGAGTGTAATCCCAGGGCTGACCTGATAGCTCAGCAGACTAAAGCGCCTCCTTAGGCCAAGCATAGCGACAGGGGTTCGATCCCTGGCATGCGGTGCTGCCCCCCCCCCCCCGGGTGTGCTGAGACAGCAATTGAGACTGGGTGTGGTGGCGGGTGCTGTAATCCCAGCACTTGGGGGGCTGAAAACAGGAGGATTACTACAAGTCCAATCTACGTAGTAAGACCCTGGAGACCCTGTACTAAATACAGAAAAAAAAAAGTGCAGTCCAGAAATAACTGTATGACATGGTTTAGTTTGCCTTTATTTAACAAGGCTGTATCATTATTCTCTGTAAAGATACATGAATGTTTCTTAATTGTTCTCTGCATGGGCTCATTTTATTTTTTTAACAAATGGTAGTTCCTGCTTCCCGAGTCATTAGCCAATCTTACAGATTTTTTATTAAGCCTTTTTTACTGTGTCATGCACTATTTTAATTCGAAGATGTGTAATATTCTGGATTATAGTAAGTGCAGAGATAATTATTTTTTTCTGGCCACCTTCACAGGGAGACATACTCTTTGGCTGATGTAAGAAAGCGATTCAGTCTGCTTAGTTCATGCAGTGAAACGTGATCCTAGTAGTACAGACAGTAGGTTGCCATTTAAAATCAGTACTTTTCACTAGTGTGAAAAGACTCCAAAGTTACTAGATTTTTGAGGAGTTTACAATTTCTGTCACAGATATGATCTGATAGCTGCAGTTAGGAAAGGTCCTTTAGGGATATAATAGTGAGCTGATCCGTCAGGATGCTAAGGCGGTCAGTTAGCAGGAAACACCCTCAGCATTTGCAGAACCCCATGCAGTTTAACGAGTTAACCGCAAGGGTGACCTCTTATATGGCCTACTTTCACATTGTTTTAAAAACTAATTGGTAATGTGTCCCACTGTGTAGCCCTATTCTCTTACATAAAGGTCCTCTTGGCCTCATTCTTGTAAGGTGCAGAGACATAAATAAGATTATTCTCACTTAGTAAGACTATTCTGCCTCTCTTTGCCTTAGTTACTCTGTAGTAAGTCTTAGGCCTGAGAGGTTACTAGTTACTAGGAGCTTCAGTTACTAGTAGCTTCATAAACAGGAAGATTTTCTTTAAAAGTTATGTGTCCAAGGGCTGATCAAAAAAATATGTGTTTAAATTTTAAAAATGTATTGCATAAAAGACATATTGCCATTGATCTCTTGGAAAATAGTCCCCACTGCTTCAAACACACTTACCCAGTCATCATTGCAACTTCTGAAGGAGTTCTACAAGTCTTTGGTGAGTGTCTTTCTGAGGTGTGAAGGCTGTTCTAAGTGCCATCCAACAGGAAGCAGGCTTGTGCAATCATTACTGTGCCCTCACCCATGACGCTAGTGACCTGGCTCTTCCCCAAAGGCAGAATGGCTGCAGAAGGTAAATATTTTGAATCAGTTGAGGACATCAAAGCAACTATGATAGTGGAACAAAAGACTGTCATGAAAGAAAACTCCAGAATTGCTGTAGAAAGTGGCACAAGCGGTGGAGTGTTATGAAGTGGGGGTGGGCAGTGGAGGGGGATTAATGGCAATGTCGGTTTTACTCTTTACTGCTGTAATAATTTTTTTCAACATTCACTGTATTTTTGAGTTTGTAATGTAATTATAAAGTCTTTAAAAATTTTGGAAGTTCTTCCAAAAGGAATATGTAAGTGTATAGTAACCTAAATGAAATGCACCGTTTGTAAGAAGATGGTTTTTTTTGTTGCTAACTAAAATTTAAGTAATATAGAATACTACATTTATGTGAATTACATGTTTTTATAGCTAAAGTTTATTTGTTCAAAAAATACTTTAGGGGATAGGGAGATAGCTCAACAGTCTAAGCACCTGGCATACAAAAGGACCAGGGTTCAATCCCCAGTACCACATGTCATGCTGGACCCGGAACCTTGGGCGTGATGTGCTGGCCACTAAAACTGGTTGTATCCTCGGCACCACAAGCCACACCAGCCCTACCCTGGGCACATTGAGCCAGCCACCGAGACCCAGCGTGGTAGCACATACCTGTGATCCCAGTGCTAGGAGGCTTCAAAA